GGCCCGACGCCTACAGATTTACCTCAGGTTTTCCTTCGCCCACTTCTCCCTGGGCTTGTCCCAGCTCCCCGGAGTTACCTCAGACTTTCCCACCCGCCTGTCCTAGTTCTCCCTCAGACTTGTCCCAGGTGTCCCCCTTTCCCCTTTATCTCTCCCAGGCTTTTCTCCTCCTTAGCCTCCCCTTCTCCCCCAGCCACTCACAGCCCCCCTGACTCTTCTCTCATGCCGAGTTGCCGGGGCGGGCCTTCCCCTCGGTGCGCCCAGGTGAGTGGGGTGCAGGCCCTGGGGTTTGGCTTGCCCCAGCCTTCCCGCAGGTCTGCCCGGGCCCCGATGCCCCTCAAGTGAGTGTGTGTGGGGTTGAGTTGGGCCTTGAAAAATGGCCTCGGAGGCAGTGAAGGTGATCGTGCGCTGCCGGCCCATGAACGAGCGGGAGAAGGCTCTCGGCTGCAAGGCGGTCGTCAGCACGGAGAGCGCGCGGGGCCAGTGTTTCCTCCAAAACCCCGCTGCTGCTGGCGAGCCCCCGAAGCAGTTCACCTTCGATGGGGCGTACTACCAGGAGCACAACACGGAGCAGATCTACAACGAGATCGCCTACCCGCTTGTGGAGGTGAGTCGTGCCTTGAGCAGGCCAGAAACAGCCAACACGTAGCTTGGGATGTGGACCGAGGAGCGTTACATGGGTAGGTGATCCCTAAATGGAACTGATTTCTGGATAGGAACAGCTCTGTCCGCTCCTTCAAGAGGCTGAGCTGCAACCCTGGAGTGCAGAGGAGCGCAAAACAGCGTCCCAGTAGTAGGCTGGGATATTGGGAAGAAAAAAAAACTTTTTCAAGCAGTCACTGGTTCACTAAGAATAGAATTACACTTAATTGTTTTAGGCGGATGTTTATATGAAAGATAAAACCCCCTGAGCAGGCCCTAGAGACAGACAGAAACTGCAGTGGAAAGTGATGTGAGGAGAAGGGGGACAAACAAGACTCCTGATGATTTTAGGGATGTTTTTTCTGTCAAGTGAGAAACCTTGGAGAAGACAAGGAAGCTCAGCCTGGTTTACAATAGCAAAATGAGAGAGGATATATTTGCTGCCTGTTAATACATCAGCATGGTAAACAGCTAGTGTGAGAAAGGAACCGGTTAAGAAAAAAAAATCCCCAACTCCTCCCCCCACCCCAACCAATTTTGTTAGAAGAAGAAATACGGATAAAACGGCCAGTGATAATTTTAAGATGGAAGTTTCTGATCACGAAACAATCAGGGTCTGGAACAGTAGATTATTAGGTTAATATATTATTTATTTTCCTTTTTATTTAAACCTTAAGAAACCCACATATCTTCTGTTCCTACCATACTTCTCTGAAATAGGAACAAGTGAAAGTAAGCCCTTCTTTCAGCTAGCTTTCCAAGAGAAAATTATTCTAAGCTAGAGAATGTCCCTTTGGCCACCCTACAATCGACTAGCATTCTAGTTGCCTCTCTGGGTTTCTTATGACTTTTCTGCCCTATAGCAAAAATAATCTGGTCTTCCAAGTGTTGTCAACAGCCTTTCCACTTTTCAACGCTTGCATTTCTTCAAGTTTTCCACTTCTGAAAGAAAACCATCAATTTATGTACTAGCAGAATGCATTTTTAAATCCTTTTACCCTAATGGCATGTGAAGATCAGGCAGTTGTTTGATGTTTACTTCCAGTTTTGCCTTCAGAATACCTTTTATGATGTGGGATTGAATCTGGACATTGTAGTTCCAGTTGTGCAAAAGGCGAAGGTAATGGCTATTTTTTGTGGTTTTCCTCCCTTTACAGGGTGTCACTGAAGGCTACAATGGCACCATATTTGCCTATGGCCAGACAGGCAGTGGGAAATCATTCACCATGCAGGGAGTCGTGGATCCTCCAACTCAGAAAGGCATCATACCCAGGGCACTTGAACACATTTTTGAGAGCGTACAGGTAGGTGTGTAAGGATGTGGAAGAGATCCTGGTGTAAGATGGTGTGATATCAGGAAAGATGGGTTTTTTGTGTCATACCTAAAGGAGCGAGACTGGGGACAGGCTGCCTCTCATCCTAACATTAAGCCCCATATGTAGCCAGATGAATTGCGCCCTCATCTCCGCTGACTTTATGGACCCACGCTTGAGATGCTTAAGGACCAATAGTCCCTATAGCGAGTGTGTTGAGTGGTTATACATGGGAATGAAATGCCAGGAGAGAGATGATGAAGTGCTGAAGGGAGGCAGGCACCCAGCTGGCCCTGAGGATCTACGTAGGCTGCCTACTTGCCTTCATCTTGAGAACCTTACCCAAAAATCATTCCTGTTTCGTGCAGTGTGCTGAAAATGCCAAGTTCTTGGTGAGAGCTTCCTACCTGGAGATTTACAATGAAGACGTACGAGACCTTCTGGGAGCTGATACCAAGCAAAAGTTGGAGGTGAGGTGGAATCAATGTGTCTTAATTGAGGAGTGCTTTAATTTGCTCAGATAAATGTTGTCACCAAGGTCTCGCAGAAGAGCAATAATATGCTCTGTCAGAATATGAAGTTGTAGTGGTGAATATGGAAGCCAAGAGAAGATTTGGAGGCACTTTAATGAAAGTTTAGTGGCAGAAGGAATGGGGTTGAGTCAGACATGTGCCCCATGTGTCCCACTTGATAGCAGCCAGTAGTTCAGCAGAAGCCACATGAAAATCATTACTGGACAAGGATGGAATAAAGCGCTCATGGGGCAATTTCCTCCTAATCCTCTTCATGTCACGTCTGGCTCTAAAGCAGGAGGATTCTGTGCCTTATAAATGTTTAATCTGATCCACTGTAGCTGTGGATGATCTCATTATCTGTCTAAAACAAAAAAGGCTGATCCTTTTTTGAGGGGACCCAGCAGATATTACTCCCCATGGGAATGCAGGGGGAAGGTGAGCAGTTTCCAGGCATGCAGGAGGGTAAACTTTCCTGAAATCCTAATCAAGGGGCTGATTTTTCTGAAATTTACCTCTTGGTGGCTTTGTAGATCTTTTTGCCTATATTCCTGGACGGAGCTGCAAATCTCCTGTCCTAATTTATTTCCCCAAAGGTGAAGAAAACCGAGGCACTGGCACCATCTGCAGCACAAGCGTGCTGAGATGGTGACAGACCCAAACTGCCTTACGGGGCAGATGGGGTTTTTTTTAACATGCTCCTGGCTTTAAGGGAGGCAAAACCCTCTCTGCTTCGTGTTCCAAGCGTGCTTCGCCTGTGCATGTCGAGAGGGAGGGTGGGAGAAGGGGACTGCTTGCTGCAGTTTCCCATCCTTTGTTTCACATCAGCAGTGACACCGGTTTCCATGACAACAGCAGTTGGCACTGGGCGGACAGGAGTTGGGCAGAACAGTTTCCAGGGTAACACCATCACACCGGTGACAGCCGCTGCCTGTTGCTGCCTCCACCGAGTAATTAAGGGAGACATGTCCTGTGGAGACCGAAAGCCCGGGCTGCCCCACTGCTTTCTTGTGTCCCCCAATTCTCCTCCAGAATCGCATTTCTCTTTGTTCCTTTGCCTGCCAATGTCAGCACCTTCAGTGTCTCCAAAGTGCACAGTCACCTCCCGTGGCATTAAACCCTGTGAAGAGCAGATTTTATGGAGCTCTGTAAGGAAAATGCCCCCACTAGTCTGTCATTGAGTTAAACAGCCACATCCCCAGTTGGGTGTTCCTCAGGGACTCCGCAGCACCCTCAAATACAGCTGGGCCAGCCACAGGCTCCTCCTGTAGCACAGGCAAAAGTCACAGTGTATGAACAGTCTGGCTGTGATACTGTAACTGGATTCATCCTGGGCAGTCATGGCTTTAGAACAAGGTTAAAATCCTGCCTAGTTTTGTTTTTAGCCACTTCTGCTCCATTCTGTGGCGATCTTTTAACAGCAAACGCTCTATTTTATGTTGCTTCTTGTGGTGCGTGCATCACTAAAGTACCCAAGGCTCTTCTTTGGAAGTCACACTGCCAAACGCAGCATCTTTCACTCCGTGACACCGAGTCATGACAGCCATATCTTGATATCCCAGCTCTGACACGATAGAGTTTTGGTGATGAACTCAGCAGATGTGGGGCGTAGCGTAGCTGTTGCAAATGAATTCAGCTTGTTTAAAATTCCCAGTGTGGAGGGAGCTTCAGAGGGGCCTGGTGTAGGAGTGCAGGGATCTCTCAATTGTTTTGTATTTTTTATGGAGGTTTAATCAAGATTTTGAATGTTTCAATCATTTATTAGCATACTGTATGAAATTTTTCTTCTGCATGATTTGATAATTGCTGAAGAGGCTGTTAGATATTTAACACTGTCTCTGCCCAGGTGCCTGAATAGGATTTAAAAACATCTTGAAAATGAGCTAATTTGGAGAAAAATTATTATAGTCCGCCTGTGTGGGATGGGTGTGACTTTGGGAATTTTGTCAGGGAGATCAAGACGCCCTCTCAGAGCGGAGGGGTTCAGCAAAGCACCGCTGACGATATCCATGACTATTGAATCTGTGCTTTGATTTGTAAAACACTCTCTATGACTGAAGAGATATTAGAACCTTTGCCATAATAGGTGAAAAATATTTCAGTTCTTTTTTTAAAATATGCAGCTTAATAACAGGGGAGGTAGAAATCAGCTCAGCGCAGGTTTCTTGTGGCCTGGGAGATGTCTGAATCAATCTGCAAACTTTTAACCTTAATTCTTTTTTGCCTGCAGAGCCATGAAGGTGGTTCCCTCTTGTGTGGTTTTATTCCTTCTTCAGAAATCTTAAAGCTTTTTGATGCAGCCAGATAACGTTTTTGGCATACTGCTGTTAACTTCTCCACGTGCAAAACTCATGTAGCCTTCAAGTTTCCGGACGGTTTCCAGCCTTCCCTCAGCCTTGGTGTGTCTGGTCCTAACGTGTCTTGCGTTGTTGCTGTTTGCAGCTGAAGGAACACCCAGAGAAAGGGGTGTACGTGAAGGGGCTGTCTCTGCACACCGTGCACAGCGTGCTCCAGTGCGAGCAGATCATGGAGACAGGCTGGAGAAACCGAGCAGTGGGTTACACCCTCATGAATAAAGACTCTTCCCGCTCCCACTCCATCTTTACTGTCAATATGGAAATCTACACTGTTGGTAGGTAGCTGGGCATCCTGTGTTAGGCCTGGGCCTAGCAGAGAGCAGAATCTGTGCGGTCTGACCAGTCGCCCCACAGCAAAATGTAGATCCTAAATTATTTTAGGTCCAGTAGAAATCAGAGTTGCAATAACATGGACATTCTTCCCAGTGTGAATTTTTTTTTTTTTTTTTTAATTTGATTCCCCCTTGGGAGAGAAAAGTCTTGCACTTAAACTGGGAACATATTTAAATCTCCTTCCATTTCTTTATCTTCTCAAACCTTTACTTCCAGCAAAGGGAGCTAAATCTCAGCCCATACAATGGCTTGGAGTTCACGGGTTTTACAGCCTGGAGAAACTTACATCGTTACCCATCCTGTCTGACCTCCTTTACAATGCAAGTCAGATCATTTCACCCAACAGTTCCTTCACTGAGCTTAATCACAGGGCACATCTTTTAAGCAAACAGCTAATCTGGGGTTTAAGATGGAATAAAAGAATCCCTTAATAATATTTTAATGACTAATTTTCCTTTCTCGAGCATCTCATTTCCACTGGCGTTTCTTTAGCTGATAAAGCTGCCTCACTGGGTCTGAACATGGGCCTCAAAAAGGTTTTTTCTGGGACTAAGAAATGAATTAGTCTCCTATATTCTGTCTAGTCCTTGACCCCGGCTGAGGCTGTGAACAGCTTGGCTTCGTTTTTTTCAGCTGTTTCAGCCATGGGGAGTTACACAATGTTGTCCTTAATTGTGGTTCCAGATGTTGGTGACAGTACCTCATTTTCCTCTACCCAAAATGGGGCATGGAGGATTTTTGGAATTTCTCAATTAGCACAGTGGGTGGGTGATAATCCTTGCATTATGTGGGTCTGTAAAATCCCAACTTTAATCCTAACAAGGAAAAAGAAGTATTTACACTCCTCTTTTGTGTTCCAGATGGGTGCAGGACTCTTAATCTAGCCTGCAACATTTTCTCTAATTTAAAGCTTTGAAAACCTGTTACACAGAACAAAATGGCAGGTGGGGAAACTTGTGGTTTGGCAGTTAAATGGAAGACAGCTGGAATATTTGAGGAGAAAGTTGAGGGTTCTGGCACACTCCCCGTAACTGGATGGTTCTACTAGGGTAATCATTAGTTGAAACAGTTAATGAAGTTGGTATTTATGTTGTCATCTTTAAGCTTCATGAAGAGAAGTTCAAACTTATTTTCCATTTGAGCCTGTAGTAAATTAGACTTTAGAGGCAGTTGATATTTTAAAGGCTCTCTTTGCAGTTAATGTGGACTAAAGGGACCCTTTAAAGTAACAGTTTAGATTCAGGAGCAGAATTATGGCAAATACTGGGCTCTCCGGCTGCAGATGTATGAAAAGTGCGAGTTACCGTCAGTATTTTTACTGTATTTAGAGCAGCAGATGTTTGATTGCTTTACATTGTGCTTAGAGATTGATCAGTTAGTGAGAAAGACGTAAATTTGGGCAGTGCTTATGCCACCAGAACTGGAATGGGAATTAGATGGGCAGACTTTTGGGCTGCTGCAGACGTTTTACCAAAAGTCTGGGGACCTTGTTACACCATGGAAACGAAAGCACTAAGCTGAAACAAACAGCCTCCCTGGGTAAAAGGACTGGCAGGAAGCAAAACTGCTTTTTAATTGCCATCAGTGTTTACATAAACTGTGGGGGAAGGAGGAAAAGGGTTAGAAAACCAACTTTTTGTGACTATCCGCTCACCCTAGCTCTCAGAAGGGATAGTGAGAGGGTGCTCTATTTAAGGTCCCTCTGTTGTTTTTCTTTTTTCCCCAATTCTCCCAAGTCTTGACATGCCAGAAAGATCTGGAGTGAAACAAGAAGTTTGCTCTGCAGCAAACATTAAGTTCCTCAGTTAACAATCTGTTTCTGTAACTGGGGAAACATCCTGGGGCAATAGATTTTGTATTTTTTTGTTCACTTGTAAACTTAACTTTCCCTCATGCATCATATTATTCATTGCTCATGTTTAGGTGTTGTCCACAGCCTTAAAGCTTAACTCTGATTGATTGAACTGAAGTCAAGGTTTTGTAGAAGTCTGTCTGGAAAAGGGCAGACTCAATTAAAACCGATTTTTTAAATTTTTTTTTTTTTTTTTCCTTGGAGCACTCTTCCCTTGAACTTGGGTTGTAATTGTGAGCGGTGATTGGGACATAGACATCCAAGAGTGTGGTCCAGTGCTTAGGATATTACTTTGTGATTTGGGAATGTGTGTCCAACTTTTTGCTCTGCACGAGGCTGGGAAATTTCAGTAGCCAGTGAAACCAAGGGGTTCCTTAAGTGCCCAAATGTGCTTTCTCTAGTCACAGGGGATTTGTGTCATCATGTTAATCCAGCCTCAAAATGCAGGTCGGGAAGCAGATATTGTATGTGTGAGGTGTGCATCCAGGTAGCTGGGGAACTACCTGTTAACTTCAGCTCCCATCTTCTCTTGCCTTCAAGCATTACAGTGGGGATGGCACTGGCTCACTGGGTCTGACTCCTCACTGAGATCCATTTCCTCATCTGGATGGATCGGGCTGAGTGCAGTCCTGATTTCTTGCAGTTTTCCCCTTTCTTGCCTGCATTCCTTCATTTTACTTTCTCACTGAGAATGTCATGAGTTGAGGAGAAACAGACACCTGTGTGCTGCGCCACGGCATGGTTTTACAGCGCTCTGGGCAGGAGGGGAGATCTGCTGAGCTTCTGGAACATTCAGGCTGCCTCAGGACAGAAAGCCAGATGGTGGACCTCGATGGTATCTGATAGGAAGTGCTTTTTCTTTTGAAGCACAGCAAGAAACTTCTTGAATACATCCGTTGATAAAGGTAGGTTGGATGCCAGTCCTGAGAAAAGCTGTAGTTTGGGAGGTCATGGAAAAACTGTTTCTCAGCGTAGTATCTACTCCAGCCTCTCCATGATAATCTGCAGAGGTAAGCTCCCTGCGTGTCTCTCCACATCACGTAGGCATTCAGGGAGCCTGCTCTTTCTCCTGTGCTCTCCAGCTAGCCCTGCTCCAGTTGCTGCCCAGTGACTCCTCATTTCATGCTTCCTCTCTTTTTTTCTCTCCAATTGTCAGATGTAGTTTAACTTCATGAAACAATCTGAGGAGGAACAAAGTTGAATAAACACACAGTCTGACCTTGTTACTTGCAGAGGGCTTTGTGTGAAATTCTGAACACTGTAGGAATATGTGGAAGGGGGAGGTAGGGGGGGGTGTGTGTGTGTGTGTTCAGAGCTCACTGGGGAAGTAAGAACGGGCAAGAATTCTTACTGTGCAGGATCTCATTCAGGAAAGCACTAAAACATGTAGTTCTAAGATTAAGTAGGTATTTATTTACTTAAGGGAGTCAGGGCCCAAACGCAGACAAAGAACAGGGCTTGAACTGGAATGTAATGCCAAGAAAGTCTTGGTTTTTGACTGTTAAGATGCTTCCTCTTAAGAAGAGCCTAACACAGGATTGTTTTCTTGCAGATGAGAGAGGGCAGGACCACCTTAGGGCTGCAAAACTCAATTTAGTGGATCTGGCAGGAAGCGAGAGACAGTCAAAAACAGGAGCCACAGGGGAGCGGCTCAAAGAGGCCACCAAAATCAACCTCTCCCTCTCAGCTCTGGGCAACGTCATCTCAGCCCTGGTCGATGGCAGGTGTAAGCACATCCCCTACCGAGACTCAAAGCTGACCAGGCTGCTGCAAGACTCCCTCGGAGGGAACACCAAGACACTGATGGTAGCATGTTTATCTCCGGCTGATAACAACTATGACGAAAGCCTCAGTACTTTGCGCTATGCTAATCGAGCAAAAAACATCAAGAACAAGCCCTGTATCAATGAGGACCCCAAGGATGCTCTGCTGAGGGAGTATCAGGAGGAGATTAAGAAGCTGAAGGCCATTCTAGCTGAACAGATGGGCACAAATAACTTGTCGGGTAGGAGAGCCCTTAGTGGCTGCAGAGATGTTTTAACTTTGACAGAAAAAATAGGTTTTTACACATAAAATGCTCACTGGATTTCACCTCAACCTTTCCAGTAACTGTTGGAGGAAGAGTTCTTTGTTCTAGTAATGGACTTGTCCTTCACTGTTGCCAAATTGACCTTATTCCACTGGTAAAGACCATCTCAGTTATTCAGTATTTTCAATAATGACAAATTATGTTAGAAAATACGGATGTGATTAAAATCCTCAGATCTTCGTGGTCATTCTGGCTAGAATTTGGTCAGTCCCACACGAGAGGTTTCATCTGGCAGAGCAAAAATGAACTGTGAAAGAAATAATAATATAAAATTCTTTATTAAATATCTATACATGTTTTCAAATTTAGCATTCAGCCCCTGTTCTATTACACTGTGAATTTCTGACATGACAAGAAGAGTTTTGCCCTGCTGACGGGGAGCAGCACTGTCCTCTCTCTGAGGATTCAGCCCAGCCTCAGCAGACTTGCTCTTTGCTGTGAAGTAGGAATAGCAAATGTGGGAACAAATGAGTAAGAGCAGTCTTTAGGGAGCTGATCACCTTTTGAGAATTATCCCCTAAAAAAGGGCAACTTTCAGCAGAGGAGTAAGGCTGTAAGATTTTATTTTTTTTCCCCTCGCACATTCTGCCACCTTTCAAAAACAGCTGTGGAGAAAGAAGGCAATTTCCTTGCATGTTTCATCTCTTTCCCAGTGTCTTTTATCTTCTAAATCTGTTAGCATAGCCCTGGAAAATTCTCCTGTTATTTTGTGAAAGAGATTAAATTTATATTTGCTTTCATATACCTGAATCTTAAACCTCTCCCCGTCTGCTCAGCTCTGACTCCTCTCCCCACACCTAAGGAGTCCCAGGCCAGTGGGCGTTTTGGCAGCACAGATGCTGGCACACGAGCACAGTTTAAAGGAGCACACGGATTGTGATGTTCTTTGCTGGCAGCCAGGTTCTTTGTTCTGTCTCCAAGCATTATACAGACAATCCCACCCAGTAACTGTGAGTGATTTTTCTTTCTGCTTTGCTTTGTAGGGCTTCTACCTGCTGAGACTGCTCACCTGGCAGCGAAGCCAGCTCCCCTCCTCAAACCCCAGTTAGATCTTGAAACAGAGAAGCAGCTGATCAGAGAAGTAAGTCAGGAGGGGGTATCCCATAGCCTCTTTGACTAAGGCTTGTGGGTTTTTATAATAATTGTTACAAATGTGGTGTAGAGCTGTGTGGTTCAGCCTTTTCAGAACACTTCTGTTTTTTGGTCCTTGGGCTTCTGTGGACAGAACGTGTGTTGATGGAGGCCTTATTTACAACGCCACTTTCTCTCAGCATTGTTCCCACCTCTCTGGAGATTAATTGGAATGGATTCCCAAGAATTTTTGCAGTAACTACATGTGAAACTAAATGTGATTCCTCCTGTCAGAGGAGGGAGAAATAGGGAAGAGGAAGACAGTAGTCAAAGATGTTAGGAGAAGTACGGGAATGAAGATAGAGAGGGGCTATGGAGCCAGGAGGAAGAATGAGGAGTTGGGGGCCAGGAGGAAATAAAACTCCCTCCTTGTTCTTTAGAAAGCTCCTTCAGGGCACGGCATCTCCCCAGGATAGCCATTTCCAAGGATAAGTAGACACCTTCCATCAATACTGTGTCAACTTAAATCACACACAGAGTCAATGAATACCGGATGGTAAAGCTTTATTGGGGTGGACAGAAGATGTGACCTAGACGTGACCCTGTGCACAGTCAGGAGTAGGGCTGTTGTGTCAGCTCTCTGCTGTGCCTTTCAGGAGTACGAGGAGAGGCTGGCCCAGCTAAAGGCCAGCTATGAAGCAGAGCAGGCGTCCCGTGCCCGCCTCGAAGAGGACATCAGTAGCCTGAGGAGTCACTATGATCTCAAGCTGTCTGCTCTCGAGGAGAACCTCAGGAAGGAAGCAGGTGTGGATGAGGCAGGCTGGATGTTCTCTGATGCTTTAGGCATAAGCAGACACAGACTGTTTCTGCAAAGTCACATTTTGGAGCAGCCACTGCAACCTTTAAAGTGGCAGTGACTGCTACTGCAGCAAGTGCTGCCTGGCACCAGCAGCAGTCCCTGCTCTCAAGCCCAGGAGCAGTAACTCTGGCTCTCCTGGGCCACTCATGAGACTCTCTGTCCCAGCTTTGTCCTCTTCCTATTTATTTCTCTGACTTATTTTCCCCATCAGGACCAGCCTGGCCCTACCCTGTAAGCCTTGAGGCCACAAAATGTGAATTTTTGCCCATGTAGCTGTGAGTTTCTTCTGGTTTAGGGCAGCGTTTGGAGCAGAGGTTTGAGCTGCCGAGATGACTGGCTTGATCCGATTGGCTTTGCACAACCCACATGCCCAAGCTGAGGGTGGCTGCAGCAGCCTCTTCCATCGCATGCAAATGTGATGCAGCCCTTGGTCTCCTGGTGGATTATCAACACCATCGCTCTGCTGGAGGGTGGATATTCCTCGCACATACCTATAAATTGTTGCCAGCTCTCCTCTTCATTACTGCTTTTTGTTTATACTTCTGCAGTGCCTCAGAGCCTGTTTTGCAATGTGCTTATACAGCACTTATTGCCCAATATTAATTCTTGAACCTATATTCTTAATTTTTGATGCTATCACTTTCTTTTTTTTTTTTTTTTTTTTCTTTTTCCCCTCTCTGATTACAAACGTGCACTTCCCCACCCTCTGAAATTGTGTGTGAACATGAGGACCCAGGCTCTCCCCACCCTGTAAAATCTGCAGTCCTTACCCGATACACCCTCTGGGTCTTTTATGGATAGAGCGTGTGTTGATGGAGGCCTTATTTACAATGCCACTTTCTCTCAGCATTGTTCCCACCTCTCTGGAGTTTAATTGGAATGGATTCCCAAAAATTTTTGAAGTAACTAACTACATGTGAAACAGTCAAATCTTTTTACTGACCAGCATAAATAACAGACCTTTTATTTCCAGACACATGGTTTTTAGCTTTTGATGAAGATTGTGTGTGATGTTTTCACAGATTTGTGCTCTAGTTTTGCAGAGCTAGTTCCTTACATTGTGGGTATTTCCTCTTCAGCTGCTGTGAAGACTGAAACTACTCCTGATGAGGCACCTTTGCCTGAAGACTCTGGTGCTGCAGCAGATGAAGAACCAATGTCAGCCCAGGTACCCTTCAGGCTACTCTACCCCCCTGGTTTGAATAAATCCAAGTGGGTAGCGTCGTGCTTCGTCCATCCCAGTACTCACACTGAATCTTTTCAGGGGCGCAGCCTTTGGTTTCCTCTTGTCCTCAGGACTCAGCAGAGCCTCGGACTGTGCAAGAGGCTGGTGGTGTGAGCAGGGGAAGTGCTGGAGCAGCAGTGGCTGGTGCTGCTGAGGGGATTGTGCTGCCTGCAGACCAGCAGCAGGTGCTTGCCAGGTCAGTGACTACGCTGCTCCTGCTAACTGCCTCCTGGGCACTGCCTACAACAACGCAGGCAAGAAGCAACCCTGTTCTTTCGTGGTACTACAACTGTTGAGCTTCAGCTGCCAGTTCGGTGCAGCACAGAACTAGGCAGATGCATATTCTTTACTCCCAAATTAACTTTGTCCTATTTGGGCAAATAAATAGCTGTTAGCTGTGGCATTCAATGATGCCAAGTGCCAGAATTATGAAAGAAAAATCTGGAGATGTCTGTGTCAGCAGATAGGGATACAAAAAGGCTTGCTTCCCTGATAACAAATCCTGCCTAGGTCTGTAGGCAGGGAAGTCTCTTCCTTCTCTGGCTTATTGCAGGTGTAATTTATGAGGAGTTTATAAAGCTGAGTCTGGCGGTTGCTGACAGAGCTTAAGTGTCCAACCTGGCCTCCTTTTCCTCTTAAAAATGTTTCTTGAAGGGTACTTGGAGCCTTCTCCTATCAGTTCAAGGTGGCAAGGCCCTCCTGCTGCTCACAGTGTGGGTGGGTGGAGGAGAGTGCATCCTCCTCGACTCTCCCTTGTCACTGAGGTTGCTTTTGCCTCTGGCTCACTCATCTGACAATGTTTGCAAGATGTCAGCCAGAACTGACCTCAGAATTTCCCAATAATCGCATTTTAGGGGCAACATTAGACCCTGGGCCTGGAGCACAGGGCTGGGATGCCAGGGCTGCCTGGGCTGTTTCAGAAATACACGTTTGAAGCAAATTCTGCTGATTTCTCTCTTTTACTCTTGTGTGGAATTATATTAAAGTAAGAAATGCCCAACATAAGATATATATTGTGGGTGATGGAGTTTGATTTGGAAAAGCCTTGTGTTTTGTAATGGGCCTTTCAGCTGAAGAAGGAGCTATTAAGAAATCTAGAAGAGCAGCGTCTGTAATTTGTGGGTAGTTCTGTCTATTAACAGAGAGGTCTCCAAATAAGCCATTTGTTTTAACTATCAATCACATCTTAATAGTCCTATTGCAGCGTTCCTTTTTGTGACAAACAAGGGAAAAATGTTCTTCTAATTACACTGTTAAAATCAAAGTTCTCTGTAGATGAGGTAGGAGGGTTTGATTCTGCAGGTGTGGGGCTTTTTGAAGCTGCCTGTTAAAAGCTTTACAGGTCCAAGCGGCTGTGAGATCTCCGATACTCACGCAGCAGAGCGAGAGTCAATCATCTGTTAAGCAAACGAACTGAAGGCTGCTTGGCAAGCATGGTAAAGTAGAATAGCAGGTCATCTCTGGTGGAGAATGAGCTCTTTCGGATGGGTTTGAAAATTAAGAGGCTATTATCAGCGGAGCTTTTAACAGTAGTGGGATTTTCCCTAATTTGAGCCAGTGCTGGCCAGCCTGAGCTGTCTGCTCTGCTGCAGATTTCCATGCAGACAAAGAGAATGGCTCTGGAGCGTGGCTTTATTTCTGTGTTGGAGCGTACAGGGCCATTTGGCATGGACATCAGACCAGCTTGATTTCAAAAGTGGGTCTGTGCCTGTGCTCAAACAGCGGTGCTGAGGTTGCCCAAGTCATCCACCCTGGCCAGTATTGCCCCCAAAAAATAATTGTACTGTGGTGTCCAGCTGTACCACTCCTAGATCCATTTAAAATATTACTTTGGGTAATTTTGACAGATTTTGTGCTTGAGAGTCTTTCAAAGCATAAAGTAAAAATCGAAATAATATATTCAATATATGTATCAGTAAGTATTTAAATATAAATTCCACAAAATGGGATTTTTAAAAATAATTCTGTGAGCGTAGCTACAGATTTCTGGACAGAGGTGCTCAGAATAACACACGCTTCACCTTGGGTCCACAGGAATATCAATGACAAAAAATGTTAATAACGGTAGAATTTGCCGTGATTACTTGGGGCAGCAAATCTCATCAGAAATCACTATTTTCTGTACTGTGTCATTCCAAACATCGTTTCCTCCACACAAGTCTTAGCACTTTGTAGTGCTAAGAGAAGCGTTTGCCTTTTCCAGGCTGCAGATGCTAGAGCAACAGGTGGTTGGAGGGGAACAGGCTAAAAACAAGGACCTCAAAGAAAAGCATAAACGCCGGAAAAAATATGCGGACGAGCGGAGAATGCAGCTGGTGGCTGCACTGCAGCAGTCTAACGAGGACAGCAGTGATTGGGTTCTGCTTAACGTCTACGACTCCATCCAGGAGGAGGTTCGAGCCAAGAGCAAGCTTCTGGAGAAGATGCAGGAGAAGGTGAGCAGCTCCCTGCTATCGCTGCTGACGATTTAGGGAGCATCTCTTTCCTCCTCTGTGTACCCCTTTTTTTTTTTTTTTTTTTTTTTTTAAGGTTAAGGAGGAGTTTTAGGGCAGTATGTTTAGACAATGACTGTGGCTGTGTCTGATATTTCCTACACGTGCCTGCGTTAGTATTTACAAGGTTGCTTGAGTGTACTTTTATGAAATATCGGATGCAGCAGCCCTCAGGGTGATGAATTAAGTTGCTGACACCCAAAACCCCACCTGTTTTCATGGCTGGTCTCCTTGCGCAGCACACTGTCTGAAGGAGGATATCTGGTGATGGGAGAGGATGCTACTCCCTCTACTGACCCGTGCAATCTATTGCACAGCTTCCTTCAGGCATCACACCTGCCTTCCTGGAAGAAATTACACCGTGAAAAGTTTTCTAGGGGAGAAAAAAAAAAAAAGGCAACATTCTGAAATTTTAGGCACACTTGAAACCAGTTTTGCTCTGATGAGGCAGAATCGGAGGAGCTTCAAAAAAATCTGTATGTGCAGTCCTAAATCTGCACATTAAGAACTTGCTTTATTTCTGTATTTAGATTATCAAAGAAATATTGCACCTTTTTCATTGAATTTAGGAACTCCCAAGAATTCATTAGTAATGAATTAGACCACACTAGTAAGATTAACTCAACATCCATTCAAAGACTTTGGAGAAACATGAGAAATCTTTGATTAAAACAGACATATAATAATCTCTCCACACAAATCTGATCTGCATTCTTAACAATAAATTAAAAATCTTCCCAAATAGCGAAGCTTTTGTATGGGTCTTTCCATCCCTCTGCCTACAAATTCTTGTATTTGCAGTAACCATCGGCCTCTCTCCTTTATAATCCCAATGACTTATTTTGTCCCAGCTGCGGGCTGCCGAGACAGAGATCAAAGATCTGCAGTCAGAGTTTGAGCTGGAAAAGATCGATTATCTCAGCACCATCCGCCGCCTGGAGCGAGAGCTGATGCTTTTCCAGCAGCTGCTGGATCAGGTGCAGTCCCTGGTCCGCCGCGACTGTAACTACAGTAATCTGGAGAAGATCAAGCACGAATCCGTCTGGGATGAGGAAACCGGCTGCTGGAAAATTCCAGAGCCTGTCATTCAAAAAACGCACCTGCCCGCAGGTAAGAGGGTCTCCATGGTGCTGCCGGTGCGTGGCTGCTGCCGGGCTTGGCCGATCACATTTGGGCTGCGCTCACTTGTAAAATCTGCCACATGCAGAAAGTTTGTTGAGTTTGAATGATGCCATCTAATGTGATGCATGGTACGGATCCTTCAGGAGTATCTGTGAGGCCAGTGATCAAGGAGGTGCTGCGGATGGGTTAATTGTTCTAGAGAGCACGACCCTGTAACACCTGTCTCTGCTCACAGCAGTTCCAGCCCTGCCGCAGCCCAGACCTGCCCAGAAGAGCCCTTCAGCCGAGAGCCAAGACCTAACGGTACAATGCTTTTCTCCTCCCGTTTTGTATCGTATTTTACCAATTTCTGCCGTATTTCCAAGCCATAACCCAAGGGCTAGCGCAGAGTCTGGCTCTGCTGACAGCGTTTTCCGCTTCCAGCCCGAGGAAGACCGCTACAAGCTGGTGCTGAACAGGAGCGACAGCGAGACCATCGCCAGCAACTACTTCCGCTCCAGACGTGCCAGCCACATCCTCCACCCCGACCCAACCAAGAACAGAGGTAAAACATGCCTTTTCCTATGGATTGCTGACATTAATCTTCCTTCTTTTTTTTTTTTTTTTTTTTTTTTTT